TGAGTGTGTTAAACGAAGATGAAAGGTGTCAAAGTGTCTAAATGTGGCATCTGGAATGAGACAAAATAAGACTAAGGGTCTGTTCACACGTGAGGTTTGGTTCTCTTATTTCATTTCATCTGAACAAAAAAAAGTAATTGAGATAGGAAGCAGGTTTCCGGTGTCTATATTGCAACTATATATGAAGAGGAAACTATATACTATGAACAAATGGAAAAAGAAATGTTTGCTGGAGCATTCAGTCATTTTTGTGATTACATCCTTTTGACATCATGTACTGTTTTTGGTTTGTCCCATTTATATTTAAGCAGGTCGAAATGAATCTTTTCAGGGGTTTTTTTAAGCAGGGTTTACAATTAATAAAAAAAAGCTGCACTATCAGAACAATCTCACTAGTTTTAAATCAATCAAACTTGTGGAGTGTAACACACTTTAAATTAGATTTTATATTTGAAAAATAAAAAAAGACCAAGTGGGGGGAGAGGTGAGATCAGAGGCTGTGTTGCAGTGTCCGAATGCGGATATCATTACATGGTGTTGGCACTCAGGAAATAACTCACGTGTGAGTATGTGGGTCACATTATTATTATTAGAGCCAGTGATCTAAACAAGTGCAATGATGACATTCCCACTGCACACAGAGATGTGTTAAGACTCTATTCAGCATCGCAACTGCACTTCTTTTAATTCTCCCCCTGACCTATTTTAGCCATAGCCTTTTTTGGCTGAAAAAGAACAGATCAGCCGGTCCTATCCTAAAAGATGTTGTTGCCAGTATGCCATGTTTTCATCCACCTATTTTTATGCGCATGTTGAACTATCACATGACAAAACGCTATATGTAAACACAAGATGCTCATAATAGGATGCTGTTTTTATCTCTTAAAGGGATAGTTCACACACAAAAAAAGAAAATTCTGTCATTTACTTTTTTAATGCAAAATGAGTTATTCTGAAGAGTGCTGGAAGCCGGTAGCAACTCGCTATATTTCCATTCAACTATTTTTATTCACATTTTGTACTATCGCATAAAAAATGCTTGATGGAGAGACCAAGATGCAGATCAATTTTGAAAATGCACATATAAGACATATAACATTTTTTTATCAGATTACAAAAATTGTGCATAAACTACGATGGAAACACATTTGCTCAATAGATCCAATATGCGCATCAAAAACGTCATCAAGTTTTTTAACAGCTCAAAAATAGCCAAAAATAGGCATGGTGGGAGAGCATTAACAGACAAACCAGCAGACCGACCACAATGTAAAGTATTTGCAATGCAGTTTTGCTCATTGTAAAAAAAAAAAAAGTCCATCATCTAAGTGGTTCATTATTTCTATCTCTCAGAACTGTCATGAGCATCTGCACTTCCACAAAAAGCATCTCGAGCCTTATTGCATTTCATTTTCTGAAGCGCAAGCAATTAATCACCCTGTTAGACATTTTATTGCGTTTTTGTGTTAACTTACTGGCAGCACTGTTGCCCCTTTACAGTAACTTACCAGTAAATGTGTTGTACAGTTGTAGGGCCCTTCTGAAATTTCATTTCACAGTAAAATAACCTTGCCGCAACTCCTTTTTAATGGTAAAATACCCGTTACTACATTTTAATTTTACAGTTTGCACAAATGTACTCTTGTTTTACAGTTAATTTTACATTTTAATTTTACAGACAATTGTTACTGTCATGTATTTAGATTTTACACTAGCAGTACAAAAACTTTTATCATTTACAACTGATTTTTTTATATTCCAAACAAGTGATTTTTTTTTTATTAACTGTGTCATTTTTTTCTTCATCTACATTAGCAGTTCTTCATTACTTTGATTACAGTAGAGTACTACAAGTATGTAGTAAGTTACTGTAAAGGTTTTAAAATGCATATTACAGTAGTGAACTGCAAATAATCTGGTATTTTAAATGGCAGTAAATAACTTTAAAGATATTAATAAGTGTAATAAGTAAATAACTGTATACTGTAGTTTGGTAACACTTTATTTTGATGGTCCATTTGAGGATTGGTAGACTGTCTGCTTAATATCTGTTGATTCTGCTCCTTCAACAGACATTTAACTGACTATAAGAAACTTTGTGAGAACATGTCAACTTACACTAACCCCTAACCCACACCTAACAGTCTACTTATGATCTAGTGAGGATTAGTTGGCATGTAGATGCACTGTATTTCAACAAACAGACCATCAAAATAAAGGATGACCTGTAGTTTTTGCAGTAAATAACTGTAAAATTGTGTCTAACAGTGTATATAAGAAATATATTTGTTTGTAAAATGTAATGTACAGTGTATATTACAACTGTAAAAGTCTAACAGTGTATATAAGAAAATGGCCCACAGTGGCATCTCTTACCACACTAAATGTATACGTATATGGCTATGCTTTGATTCATGCGGTATTTCAGCTTTGCGCATTAGCTTCAACTCCCGTCTTTGTATGGAAACAGCCAATGATGACGCTGCATTTAAAGCACATCTGCATCCTTTGGCTGCTCTTTTTTACAGGTGCAATCTCCCACAGCTATATGTCTAGCTAATCCCAGCCGGTCAAGCTCTCCTCTCTTGGGTGGTTTGGGGGTTTTTCCTTCTCTTTTGGGTGTTTCAGGCCTAAGCTTTCAATCTTTCAAATTCCTCCGACCACAAACGACCCTGTTGGACAATGTTCTAAATGATTAAAGGCAAAAACCGCACTCGGCCCAATTTGAGGTTTCCAGTGTGTTACATAAAGCAACCCCTAATTACACTCTGGGTTTTGTTGCCGCTTTTGGAGGAACCAGGGTGGAGCGAGGTCTCTTTCGCCTCAGCTTCGTGCTTTTTACACCCTGTCATCCACCTCCAAGGCTTCTGTTCTCAAGCTGCTGTTGTCTTTGGCGTGCTGCATGCTATCCAAGTCTGTAGGACGCAGGAATGTATCCGAGGAATTTCAGAAGCTCTGGTCAAGCAGTCGAAGAAGAAGAACCAGGTGTCGGATTGCCTTGCGCTTCTCGGCCCATGTTTTGTGGTGCGAGGGAATTTGCTCAACATTTTCTGCAGCGCCAGATCTCGCATATTGTAATGACAGCCATGTGCAAGCGGTTTCACAAGACTAACTAGCAAATAACAGCCACATGGTAGATGAGTTTGACAATTTCTCAATCTCATGTTATCTGTTGGAGGATTGCACTCGAGAATTACACCGTATGAGTGTATGCATGTCTACACTGTTAACAGTTTACTGTAGGATCTACAGTAACTTACTGGCAGCAATTACAGCTAAAATACTGTATTTACTTGCTGTAGATGCATTTACAGTATATCTTTACTGTAAAATATACACTCATTTTCATAATGCAAGTTTAAAATACAGTAACACACTGCATAACTGTCCTACAGTAAAATACAGTTCATATTACAGTTAAATACTATTTAATTTACAAAAAATATTAACAGTAAACACATATGCTGATATTCATTATGATAATTTTAATGCACAATATTGATATCATGATCACTTCAAAATATCATACATGGTTATTTATTATTATTTAATCTTTTAGAGTGTTTTTAATTAATATTCATAGCAGTGCCAAATAACTAGAGACTTAATTGGTTAATTAGCTTAACAGTTCGAACATGAACATTGTCACATGTAAATCTGGCCTATACATGCTGAAATATTAATTGGAAGTTCTATTCATTGTACATTAACACTGCGCAATAAGTAATAATTAACATTAGTTCATTTAACTGTCACTGACACGTATACGTGATGTTAACCTCTTAGTTAATGCCTAATAACACATTAAATTCAAAGTCGTAATCTCATTACAGGTCATATGTGTTAAATAGTAAAATTCTGTTGTATTTTGTAAATAATATTAACATAGTAACTAACAGGTCTGTCTTTTTCTCAATTTATTTGAATGAAATAGCTAACGTTTACTTTGAGACTTTATTGTAAAGTGTTGCCAATTGTACTGTAGTAATACTGCAACACATTAATTTTATATATTGTTTTCTTAATATCCTATTTAAAATAATGAGTAATAAGACTTCATTGTGAAGTGTTGCCAATTGTACTTTAGTTTTGCAATTTAATTTGCATTGGTTTACTCTGCACCAGTACAGTACTCAGCATATACTGTATGAGTACACCCCATTTTGAAAATGAATTTATTTCACAGTAAATATGGGTAATATATATTGGTTCATTGGAACAAAACTGATTTTTAAACATATATTTAATAAAATAATATTTTATTCACAGAACACTTTTAGAAATGAAAGAAAATACATTAAAATTTTGCAAAAAAAAAAAAAAACCTACAACATTTCAAGAAAATTGTATATTTTTTTGTTTCTCTTGATTTTTGCTAATTTTGAAAATTTTATTTCGTATTTTTTCTTAACATAAATTTGGCCTACTACTTTTTAAACCATTATTGTAAGTTATTGTGGTAGATAAGCTCCAGATTTGGCTTTAGTACTGACTAATCTAATGTATAGGCACAAAAATAATACTGTAGAGCTTATTTTCTATAAACCTATAGAAAATATTGATTTACATGAGAGATTTGTGGGGGGTGTACTCAGATATGCTGAGCACTGTAAATACAATAATGCAATACATTAAGTTTATATTATTTTGTTATTATTCTATTTATAGTAATGAGTCTTCATTGTAAAGTGTTACCAATTGTACTTTACAATCCTATGCAAATGAATCTGGTTGAAACATATGTTTACTCTAAACATGAAAATGCAATACAAGGTTAAAGTTTTTTGTGCAGCTTAGTTTAATATCATGAGAATATCCAGCCTGGTCTCATGTGGAAATGTACGTATTTTACATTTTGTCAGTTTGGTGGCTAATTGTAATGTCATATACAAGCTTAATTGCAACAAGAAAATCTGATACACACACATAAGCCCATGCATGTCATTTTTAAGCCATTTGTTTCATGCATACAGTATGCCGTGCTAGAAATCCATTTTTACCTGCAAATGAATGGTTCCCTGTTATCCTCACTCTGCAGTTGCCGTCCTGAAGGTGTCTTGACCTAAACTGTTAGTCAGCTTCTGGGTGGTGCAGTGTGTTGCCGTTTTGGTCTCCTCTCTCTCACTCTCTCCCTCTCCTCTCTGTCTCGCTCTTTCTGCCCTTGAGGGTTTGCTTCTCGCAGGCAGGACGTCTGCTGGACAGCTGTTTCAGAATTCTTCCTCTGAAGCGGTGCAGCGTGTCTCTGCTTTGCTTTGCTCCTCCTTTCTCCGCCTGCAGCACCTGTCCCTGCCTGTCTGCGGCGTTGAAATCCAATTCTCTGGTCTTCTGAAACCCCGACCCGCCGGAGCTGCGGCAGTATTTCCTGGAGAGACAGACAGCGCTCAGTCACGGGAGGACGACGAAAACCAAGAGTGTGTGGAATCTCTCCTAGTGTGGAAGAAATACACCATCCCTCCTCTGCCTTTTTTTATCTTCTCGCTCTCCACCTTCTTCCTCACACTCCTCTCTCTCTTTCACACACATTTTTTTTCATTCTATCTCAGTTTTCACACTCTTTTACCACCTCTGATTTGCTTTTGGTCTCACTTTCTGCATTCTGTTTCTGCCGACCTCAGCATCTCTACTTCATTTGTATGCACAGCATTTAAAGTTGCTGAATCTGAGAGGTGAAATGCAACCATGCTAGATAGATGTTCACTGTTTGTTGTAAATAAAATAGTATTTAACTGTAATATGAGCTGAATTTTACTGAAGGACAGTTATGTAACATATTACTGTATTTTCAAGTTGCATTGGGAAAATGACTGTATTTTAAAGTAAAGGCATACAGTATTGTAAATACAAATGCAGCAAGATAAATGTTGCTGTAAATGTAAATAAATATAGTATTTTTGCTGTAATTTCTTTACAGTAAGTTACTGTAGATTCTACAGGACACTGTTAACTGTGTATATATAGATAAATAGATACTTTCAGTACAAGCTGATTCTCATTTCAGTTGCAGTGTAAACCTCTTTGGAGCTTAATAGAGTGTCATTAGCCCCTTTCACACATACAGACCTTTCCGGAAAATTGCCGGCAATTTTCCGGAAAGGTTGTACGTGTGAACAGGTCCTTTTTGAAAATACCGGTAAATTCGTTCTGGCTATTTTCCGGATACAGAAGTTGTAACATTACCGGCAATTTGCCGGAATGCTGCGCTGTGTGAATGCAGAAGGAAGATTCCCGTAATAAGCGCGTGCACGTCTAGAACGTGCTGACGTGAGACGTCTGCTTTAGCCAATCACAACAGTCAGACGCATTTACGTCCGCGCGGTTTGTGAGGATAAAAGCCTTTGAATATTTTTCCAGACACATTTAGCTGCTAGAAGTTAGTCAGATCACGTTTATATGTTCTTCTTAATGCCAACTGTGTAAATAATCATCGATGAGATGCTTATGACAAGCCATTGTTTGTTTACGTTCGTGTGCCTGTGAAACAGCCTGTGAGCGCCAGCACACGCACATATTATGAACATCTCGAAATGCGAAAGTGATCCTGAGAAAGTTGTTCACAATATTGATCATCCACAGAGTTTGTAATTTAGTCAAATGTTTACAAATACAAGCGCAGCCGTTTAAAGCTCATTTGTGGTGAATGATGTCACAATTTACCGGTATTTTGGAATGGATGTGTGAATGCTCTTTTCCGGAAAATTTCCGTAACGTCCTCGCCTGTGTGAACAGCGCTTTTTTTGAATATACCGGTAAAGTCGTTCCGGAAATTTTCCGGATATTTACCGGTATCACTGTGTGAAAGGGGCTATTGTTGTGCTTTTTTCATTTGTACAGCAAAGACATTTTTTACCAGAGGCCATTACTATTTCTGAGAGGTGAAATGCAACCATGCTGCTAGATACACAAATGTACAGTTTTTTTTGTCAATTAAACAGTATTTTACTGTAATATGAACTAAATTTTAGGGTAGGAAAGTTATGCAATATGTTACTGTATTTAAAAGTAGCATTGTTAAAATGCCTGTATATTTTACAGGAAATATATACAAGACTGTAAATGCATACATTATACAGCAAGGTAAATGATGCTGTAAATGTAAATGCAGTAGTTTTGCTGCAATTGATTTACAGTAGGCTACTGGTGAACTGAACTGTAATAAACTGAAGTTTACTGTTGGACAGTTATGCAGCATATTAGTGTATTTTAAAGTTGCGTTGTGAAAATTACTGTTTTACAGTAAAGATTTACAGTACTGTAAATGCATATAGAGCAAGGTAAATGGTGGTGTAAATGTAAATACAGTATTTTGCTGTAATTCATTTACAGTAAGTGACTTGCGAACTGAACTGTAATATGAGCTGAATTTTACTGTAGAATGGTTATGCAGCACATACTGTATTTTGAAGTTGCCTTCTGAAAATTACTTTATTTTAAAGTAAAGATATACTGTAAATACATAAACAGCAATATAAATGGTGCTGTAAATGTAAATACAGCATTTTTGCTGTAATTGATATACAGTAGGTTACTGGCGACCTGAACTGTAATATGAACTGAAATTTAATGTAGGACAGTTATGCAGCATATTACTGTATTGTAAAGTTGCATGGTAAAAATTACTGTATATTTTACTGTAAAATTATACAACGTTGTAAATGCATACATTTTACAGCAAGGTAAATGGTGATGTATGTGTAAATACTGTATTTTTGCTGAAATTGATTTACAGTAAGTTACTGGCGAACTGAACTATAATATGAACTGAATTTTACTGTAGGTCAGCTATGCAGCATATTACTATATTTTGAAGTTGCACTTTGAAAATTACTGTATTTTACTGTAAAGACATACAGTATCGTAAATACATAAACAGCCAGATAAATGGTGCTGTAAATGTAAATACAGTATTTGGCTGTAATTGATTTACAATAATTACTGCTATATGAACTGAATTGTACTGTTTTACAGTATTTTACAAATTTACAGCTGTAGTGTAAACCTCGGTGGAGCACAATAGAGTCTTGCTTTAGTAATATGGTCTTATTATTGTGCTGTTTACATTTGTGTAGCTAGGATGTTGTTTACCAGAGGCCATTATCAAATCTGAGAGGTGCAATTCAACCATGTTGGAGATAGATAGATAGATGGATGGATGGATGGATGGATGGATGGATACTTACAAGCTGATTCTCTTTTCAGCTGCAGTGTAAACATCTGTGGAGATTAATATGGTCCTACTATAATAATAAGGTCTTATTATAGTGTGGTTTTTATTTGTACAGTACCTGCATTGTTTACCAAAAGCCATTAGCGAATCTGAGAGGTAAAATGCAAACATGCTTTATAGATATAGACAAATAGATACTTACATGTTGATTCTCTTTAAAGCAGCACTGTAAAACTCTATTTTCATTTGTATGCACATCACTTACTAGGCAGAGACCATTACAGAATTTGAGAGGTGATATAGAATCATTCTGGATATAAAATAACAGAGACACAAGCTGATTCTCTTTGCAGCTGCAGTGTAGACCTCTGTGGAGCTTACAGTACTGTCACTTCGCCCTCAGCCTAAAATAGGTTTCCTTGGCAACATATAGTGCTCTGCAGTGAACGCACGTTTGACAGGGATTAGGAGGGGGTGCAGAGAGTCTGTCGTACCCCTGTGAATGTGGGTGTGTGGAAGAGTGTGAGAGAGAAAATGGCATAAGCACTATATATAATGAGCTTCCTGCATAGACTGCATTTTCATACTGCATACTCGAGGTGCAAAGTCAGTTCCTAAGATATTCAATATGGAGAGCTTAGTAGTGAACAACACAGGCTTCCATTAAAACAACAAACACATGCTTACTGAAGGAATAAAGGGAGATATTTTAGTTTGGGTACCAATTCTCACTAACTAGTGGCTTATTAGCTGCTTATTAATACGGTGTTGGCTGTTTATTAGTACTTACTGTATATAGTACATATTCTGCATGGTCGTATTTTACATCCTTAATCCTGCCTAATATCTGAACTTAACTACTACCTTAATAACTATTAAGCAGAAAATGAGTAGTTTGAAGCAAAAGTAAAAAAAAAAAAAAAAAAAAAAAAAAAAAAAAAAGAGGAAAAATTGTACATTTTAGTTGAAGTAAAAACATGTTAAGATGAAGGAGATGCACTACAAGCAAAATATGATGTACCTTAAACTTAGACAGTATTTTAATACATCATATGTGTATTTAATATGAATAACTTATACTCTATATAAAAACGTCATACATTTTTTGAAACAGTAAACACTCAAAAAAATCAATGATGAAGAAAATGATACACTGAGCATAAAAGATGATTAAACTAAACCTTAAAATAAACGTGTAATCTAAATGAAGTAGTATATTTGTTAGTTTGTATATTAGCAAATTGTTAACAAATGGAAATGAATTTACGGCTGAGCGAGCTTTGCGTCTGGTGCTATTTTTGCGGTTCACAGAATTGCTGGTTATATAGAGCGTTCCAAATCAGTATCTTATGAGCTTCCAGATGAGTTTAGATGCTGCCTTAGAAGGCAACTGCCTATGTAGGTAACAGTCTGCAGTGCAGATCCGGACAAAAAAAATCTTAAAGGGGTTTCTCTTACTATTTATTTGTTGCAGATGCAGATCTATATGACTTTTAGCATCTCTAAAACTCAAGCTGAGATTTTTAGAAAAATAATCAATATTTCTTTTCAGTTTATTTATGACAAATTGCATTTGTATAATGTTCTTATTATCTGTATTATTTATTAAATTATTTATATTTGTCTTAATAAAAACTATTTTAGATTTGTCAGCATGTCAGGTTTTAGAGACAGTTGCATCACCATATGGGGCACAGTAATTGGATAGTTTTTGACCACACTTTGTTATTATTATTCATTTATTCGTTTGCTGGAAATTCGAACAACAAGTCTTTGCGCTTAACAAACTAAATTAATGAATGAATAAATATGTAGGCTAATGGATGTCTTTAGTGGAGTGCATATAACATTGTTGTCTTATCCACAAAAGTAAAGGAGTAAACATTAAAAGTAAAGAGAAAGTAAAGATTTGGCATCCAGGCCAAATCTGCCCACTGGCCTTTGTCCATCATGGCCATCACCAATCAGCTGGTGTGTGGTGTGCGGTCTGGCGCAAAATGGCTGCCGTCGCGTCATCCAGGTGGATGCTGCACACTGGTGGTGGATGAGGAGATTCCCCCCATTGTGTGTAAAGCGCTTTGAGGGCCCAGAAAAGCGCTTTATAAATGTAAGGAATTATTATTATTATTATTATTAATTATTATTATTATTATTAAAGAGGCCGAATGGAGAAGGCTCATTCTTTATCCTCGTGCTGCAGATTGTCTGTTTAAATGTTATCTCGTTAGTGAAGCATTAATTTTTTCCATTTACAAAGTCTGCCCTGTAAATAGCAAATGCGCCATGGCGCAATGCAACTGACTCTCAAGGGGAATGGG